TTTGACTCCCGGCCCTTTGGGAGCAGGTTCAGTGAGTGTGTAACTGTGCTCTTGTCGTTGTGAAGCCCTCCTGAGACGAAGGACTCCGCCCTGGACGCGGCCGACGCCCAGCGCCAGGAGTGGTTCGCCCAGTACTTTTCCTTCTGATCGGCAAACGGGAGGACTCAGCATGTCAACCAAACTTTTAAAACAAAAACAATCGAAAAAAATAACTGGAAAAAAAGAGAAAAATGTTGAAACTATTTGTTATTTATTGTCATTTAAAGCTCCGGGGAGTCGCTTTAGAGTCAGTAATTGGACACAACCTGATGTCATTGGTTTTCTCTGGTGGAGACAACATGGGGGGGGGTTTGGGGGGGGTTGGGGGGGGGGGGGGGGTTGAGACTGAGAGGAAACCGAACTGAACCCCATCAGATGTCATCGCTCCGATCTGATTTGATTGTTTGATTACCTGATTGTTTCACTGTGGACGAGTTTCTCTCTTAGTACAGTGACAAAGATCATCAGTACGTTCGATGTTTATTTATTTATTTAATGGTTTAAAACTACTTATTTTTTTGCAGTTTCATGGAACTAGAAAATACTGAGTGGTGCGTTATCATGCTGCTAAATGCCATCGTTGGGTCAAAGTAAGAAATATATCTAAACATAACGAACTATATGGTAGGTTATTGTGCTCTCTGTACATGGGCCCATGCATCCAGCATCTTAGACTAGGAGGGCTGATCTAGGACCGGTTTGCCTCCTCATTTATGGTGACGTCACCACAGACCTGATCCGGGATCAGTTAGGCTGCTCTGAGTTTAGGACGGCGCCATCACGGCCAGTTTGTTACAGCTGCATAGACGTTTCAGCCGATTTTGGTAGAATATTAAAAACCCGTTTGTATGGTCGTCTGTCTCAACACAGATATAATGATGTCTCACCAATTTTAAAAAGAAAAATAGCATATTTTATATTTATATTATAATGTGTATGCTTATTAAATAATTATTGTGACATTTAGCCCCGTTTGCTTGTTGTTTATTTCACTGGATTTGGGATTTGTGTGTGTTTTTACAACCAAATCAGTGGACATTCGGTAGATTTGGGTAAACAAAGAGAGAAGAAAGAGTAATAAACTTTTAGAGCCACAGAGTCTGAGATTTAAACTGGACCTTTCTGCTTTAAAGTCTGAGCTGAAAATGCATCGTTCTCATAGAGTTTTTACTCCATTTGTTTATCTGTCATCTTTATTATATTTTTTATGTTCTGTAAATCACTTTACATGCTCAAAATGTACAAAGAATAAATAGACGCGGAGGTTTAGTGGTTGGTATTATAATGGCTGCATATTTTTGTATAATTCGAATAACATGACATGACTCACCAACAATCAGTTAATCTATGCTAAATCATTTGGAGGCAAAGTGAGCTGAAGGATGTTAATAAAGACCTGATTTGTCTGATTTCTCAGCCAAAAATACACTAAAGCTGAAACATTCGAAAGATTTTTTAAGCCTAATTTTCTGTATAGAGAAACATCTGAGCACATTATGAATAATTTATCAATTCAATTTGATAAGAATGACAAAGAATCTGTTAATTACATGTTTTCTGTTTTAAATGTTTATGTTTATGCATTTGACAGACACTTTTATCCAAAGCAACTTACAGAGTAGACACAATATTACATTTCTCATCACTATGACAATAAGCTAATATACCAACATTTATCTTATTTTTCATTCGCGAATAAGGTTAGAGATTATCCAAACATCGCAAACAAAAAACAATGTCGTTAATCCAGCAGGAACACATTAACTCTGAATATAAACGTTCGATTTCCGCCGCCAGGGGGCGGAAGTGTCCCACATCTAAAAGCATCCGGCGCGACCCGGAAGTAAACCGCTCCGGACTCCGTTCCGGTCCAGGCGCAGCATGGCGGCGTCGGGAGCCGGTTCCCCGGGCAGGCTGGTCCAGTACGTGGTGGTCCGGTCGGACCTCGTGCACGCGCTCTCGTGGCCGTTGGGGGCCGTGCTCGCGCAGGCCTGCCACGCGGCCACGGCCGCCGTGCACGTGCACTACGGGGACCCCGACACGCAGCGGTACCTGGCGGACCTGGACTCCATGCACAAGGTGGTCCTGGCGGTGAGTTCCGGCCGGATAAATAAACTCATCCTGACGTGGGGTGTTTTGGTTTGTTTTTTTTTTCACTCGGTTTTGCGTGTTTTTTAGAGACGTGTCGAAAAAATCCAGGATGATTTCTGTGAAGCGCCTATCGAAATCTTGTGTCGATGACGTATGTGGTGACGTTTGAAGCCAGTTTATAGTTTATGTATAAGCATCACAAACATCCATCCGTCCATTAATGTAAGGCAGCATCACAGACATCATTAATTAATTAATTAATTCAATGCTTGGACTCCATGCACAAGGTGGTCCTGGGGGTGAGTTCCAGTTAATAAAGTCCTCCTGACGTGGGGTGTTTTGTTTTTTTTGTAGTTTTTTTTGTTTTTTGTTTTATTTTGAAGCGTTCCATCCAGTTGGTTCAATCGTGTGTTGAAGCTTCATAAGAATCAGAATCAGAATCAGAATAAGGTTTATTGCCAAGTAGGTTTATCACTTACAAGGAATTTGCTTTGGTGTTTGGTGCACAACACTTCTATGAGAGGCAATAAAGGACATACAATGTAGAAATAAAAATATAGAATAAAATAAAATAGAATAACAATAATAATAAATAATAATAATAAAATATTGAATGTCCAACGACATGGTGCTTCATTTGCTCTATGGTGCCATCAAGTGGACAATAAATGTAAAACGTACAACATGATTCTAATGAAACTCTGGCTTTAGTGTCTGAAGCATTTAATTAATTAATTAATGATGTTTGTGATGCTGCCGTTACATTAACGGACGTATGGATGTTTGTGATGCTTATACATAAACTATAAACTTTTATATGGTGTCTGTCTTTATGATACAAGGACAGGGAAGCTTGAATAGATCGCTAACACACTCTTAATTAAGTCCCAAGTCCCAAAAATGTGACGGGGGGATTCATTGCGTTTTGCTGGCCCTTATATTTCAAATAGACCGCCAAACCGCGAACCACTTCCGTAATCAGTCACGTGGTGCGGCCGGTTCGCAAGGCTTCATACGTCATCGACACAAGCTAATTAATGGCAATTTTGATTTATTTAAAAATTGATTTATTTAATATTTATTTAATTGATTTATTTAATAAATCTGTTCATTTATTGTCCACTTGATGGCACCATAGAGCAAATGAAGCACCATGTCGTTGGGCATTCAATATTTTATTTTATTATTATTATTCTATTTTATTCTATTCTATATTTTCATTTCTACATTGTATGTCATTTCTTGCCTCTCATAGAAGTGTTGTGCACCAAACACCAAAGCAAATTCCTTGTAAGTGATAAACCTACTTGGCAATAAACCTTATTCTGATTCTGATTCTTATGAAGCTTCAAAGCTTTATGAAGCTTCATCTCGCCATCACTAGTTTTTTACTGGGTGTAATGGTAAGTGAGTGGAAGTTATACTCCCTGCCACCAGGTGGCAGCAGGGAGGATGCACCCTCCTTATGTGAGTGGGCGGGGTTTGGTTGCAGGTCATCAGGTGACGAACCTTTAACATGTCACCGTGTACCTGGATGCTGGGAAGCTGGTTGTGCTAATAAATAAGTTCCGTTCACTAATGAACCCAAAGTTTCTTCATTAACTCATGGACTGGCAGCCATTTTCAGAACAGAGAGTCCCATACTGCCAAAGTTTTTTGAGCATTTTGACTGATTTTTCAAGAGCCACAGAATAGTTTGTGCTATGACTATGTAAACACCGAACACACCAAAAGAAAGAGTAGACTCTCTTCTTTCATCAGGAAAACAATAATTGTTTCTACCTTATTCCGTTCTTCCTGGACTTGCGTCTCACCGGCGACATGTTCTCTCATAGCGAACCGTTACCTTTTTCTTATTTGCCTACAGTCTATGCTCATCTCCCATCAAAAGTGGCACTGCCACCTAAAGGGTCAATTTGTTACTACAAACTCTGTCTACAAGCCGATATTTACGGAAAAACTTTAGCAGATCGTCCCCCAAGCCACTCTCGTTGAAAACAGAAAAGACGTCTATAGACGTCTTTGGCAGCCGATGAGTTAAGATAAGAAACATTACACTGGGTTTAGCGTGTTTTTCTGTGTCCTCCAGGCCCCGGATGAAGCCGCTCTGAGGGGCCTCTCGGAGAGCCTGGAGCAGGCCGGCGTGAGCCACAAACTGTGGGTGGAGCAGCCGGAGAACATCCCCACCTGCCTCGCCCTGAAACCGTACCCCAGAGAGGCCGTGCAGCCGCTGCTGCGCAAGTTCAAACTCTTCAAATGAAGATCCGTGTCCGTGGGTCCAGACCCACACCAGACGCCGCGTTTTGCCCCCAAACTGCGTTGGTTTACGGCATTAAAAACATGAGAACGTGCTCGAGAGTTTCCATTTGACTGATATCCACAAAAGTGAACAAGATGTCTAACCTGCTTAGTTATGTTATTATGTTGAATATAGAAGCTCTTTTAAGTGGACTTAAGCTCTCAAACTATGAACCATCGTTGTGTAACATAATTTATGAAGTTAACTTAAGTTATTTCAATTCATATCTTTTGGCTCCAAAACACTCCTTTGAGTGTTTTAGTACACCATAAAAGCAAAAACAAGGCTAAAAATGACCATGAACACAACATAAAAAACAAAACCATGGCTAAATTCTCCAAATATTAACTTAAAAGCAAGGCTTAAAATTACCAAAAAAATAAACCAAAAAAGCAAAAATAGAGCTAAAAAGGCCAGAACAAAGCAAAAAGAAGCTAAAATGACCAAAATAGAGCCAAAAGGAGAGTTCCTGAGTTCCCACAGTGGGTCAGAACCTGGATGAAACCAGGAAGCAGCGTGTGGACGTTTTCTGAGCAGAAACGGGGAGGAAAAGCGTTGCTCTGCCAGAGGAACCAGAAGTGGACTAAAAACCAGCAGCTCTGATGGAGGGATGGATCCTCACTCCTCTGAGTGTTTTAGTACACCAGAAAAGCAAAAACAAGGCTTAAAATGACACAGAAAATACACCAAAATACGAAAACCAAGGCTAGATTGACCAAATATACACCAAAAAAGCAAAAACAAGGCCTAAAATGAGCAAAAAAAATACACTAAAAAAGCAAAACCAAGGCTTAAAATGACCAAAAATGCAACAAAAAAAGCTAAAATAGATCTAAAAGGACCAGAATAAAACCCAAAGATGCTAAAATGACCTAAATAGAGCCAAAAGTCGTGTATTTAACAGCAGCTAAAACCTCCCAGAGTTCCCACAGTGGGTCAGAAACTGGATGAAGGGGACTGAACCCCAGCAGCTCTGATGGAGGGATGGATCCTCCACGTTATGAAGCAGAGTGGGATCATCTGACAGAGAACGGAGCCAAAGGCAGCAGCAGAATCCAGAGAAGAGCTCTGGGACGTGCTTCAAGAAGCCGGAGAGCTTTTCCTGGAGGATCCTCACAGAGTTTTTATTGGTTTGCA